CTGCTGCGCCTAGGGTTTGCCTTCTCTTTGCTGTGACTGCATGACCTGAAGGAAAGAGTCGGATGAAATGACTTGCCTTCCTTTAAGCATTTGAAAATGCAGGTAACCTCTGCGTGTGGCAGCACGAGGATACCGGCCTTTTATTTTTGTTTTTTTTTGATGAGACCTTTCACATCTTCCATGTGGCAACATCCTCACCAGCTGGGGACTTGACCTCATTTTTTACAATTGCGTTTGGTAAACCTGGATAAATAGCTTCATGACAGAAGAAACAACTATCACAAAGCAGAAACTATTTGTTATTTAATTCGGTCATAGCACCTATATATTTATCCCCTTACTCTCCCTTTTCCTGCACAAAAACACAAGGCAAATCCCACCCGTCCAGTGATGCAGCAGAACCAACCCTTGCCTGTGGCAAGGATCGGCGCAGAGGAGTGAAAGTTCCACTCTGCTCTTTCCAGCCCCTTCAGAAACCACCTTCTTAGTGGCCAGGCCTGAAGTGTGAGGGCAGGCAGGGTACCTGAACACATCACACCACAGACACCTACGCGTTTGGTTTGTTTTGCTTCCCATAACCAAATGGCTGGTGAGAAGCGTGGCCAACTCCCGCCACCATCTCGTGAGTAGCAAGAAATGGATTTGATGGAGCCGGACAAGCTCTACCAAGACACCCAAAAGCAGCTAAATACAGCAAGTGTGAGAGCGGCTGGAAGAGGCTGCCAAAAACCCTCTCCCTGCAGATCAGCTGCAAATCCTGGTGATGGAGGAACAGGGGCTCCAGCAGACCCGTTCTGGAGAGGGATTTGGTAGATGACTGACTCGCTCTGTGAGACCATCTTTTCTCTTGCCACTGGGTTTTAAACTCTTCCTACTCTTTGGTACAGATATAATGTCTATGTTTTTGTCTTTTCCTTGTTTTGGTACAGATATAGTGTCTATGTTTTTATCTTTTCCTTGTTTTTTATTTCTTTTTTTCTGTGATTAAAAAGATCTGTTCACGGTTACTAGAAATTTGGCACCACACAAATGGCTATTGGCATTCTTCTAAAAATCCAGCTGCTTCACGAAGTTTAAGAAGCAACTTCACAAAGTCTGCAACAATCTCAAGCAGGTCATATTGCCCAGCCTGAAACTAGCACTGATTATTTACACGCTAGTACAGTCTGCCACATGATGTGATCAGCAAGTGGAATACGCTCAGTGGCAAGGACTGGGAAAACCTGAAATCACAACTGAAATCCTGGGCTGTGGTTTGCAGACAAGACGGTGCATAAAGGGCTCATTGTGAAGGCTTCAGAAATGAACTGTGCTTTGACAACAGGTTGCACAGATGTTTTGTCTAGGGACTTCCACCCACCATTATACGCAGTATGAAAAATTAAATTAGTTGCAATATTATGAGTTTAGCCAACAGTCTATCAAACAACAGTACATGATAATGCCCTAAGGTACTTTCAGGCTGGCTTCACAACTTGCAAGTTATGATCTCAACATTGAGCATAAAGTAAGGAGTGCCAAGTTAAAAAGGGACTGTAGGAGATGGGCTGAGATTCAGATAATCAATCTTTGAACAGATATAAAACATCTTTAATATGCCTGTGTCTATATGTAGCTACATATTTAGTTACTTTTAGAGACACAGTGCTTAAAATTAGTCCGTGTTTGCTATTGTGCTATTGTGTGGCTGACCATATAGTCTCTTTTGTACTTATAATGGTGTTGGACAAGAAGGTAAAATATATCAAAGCTCATTTACAGGAGCTCTACCTTTTATTAGTCTTAATACTGCCTATTTTTCTTAATACTGTTTTAAATCCCCTAACTAGTGTGCACAATCAAGTTGGTGAAAAGGCAGTTCCATATTAAAAGCTTCCATGAAAAGCTATTCACAACGAACAGCAATTCATATGGTGCAAACACTGACTCTTGGCATGTAGCTGAAGTGGAGCTGCACTCACCAACTTCACGCAGATGATGAACGGTGGAGCTGCCTCTCTGAAGTGGCATATAGGAATCTTTGGTTTGGGTTTCTCCTGCAGGAAACAAGAGCAAAATTGAGTTTTGCACTGCACTTGTTCACTTTCTTCTAGGAGCTATTAAACATTAATCGGGAAAACCCTGAAATAGTCCCTCTGTTCAGATGCTTCTGCTCCTAATTTTCCCTGTCATTTCAAGAACCCGCTCGTGTCTGTGGCTGAGGTTTTCTGCAGCACCAGCTCTGCCGGAGGACTCGCCCCTCTCTGGCCCCAGCTTTTAGCCCTCCCCCAGCAGTTGCCCCTTTTCCCTGCTCTGACTGCAAGCCAAGCTGGTTTAATATCCTACTCCTTTAAAAATGTTTATATCTTTTTTTTGGTCAAGTTCATTTTCTGCCCCTTCTGGGAGCTGAATCACCTTGCTGCGCTCTCAGGGAAGGCCCAGAGCAGGCACAGGGCAAAGGGCAGGGGCAAAGATCAGAGCTTCTCCTTCCACAGGAGCTGCTGCTGGCTCCAGCCCAGCTCTGACTTCACCACGGCTCCAAGCTGCAAAATTTTCTACAGCTTCAGCCCAGGTCACAGGGCCCCCTTCTTCATGGCTGAGCTGATGGGATGTGCTCGGTGGGCAAGTGCTCAGGGTCTGGACCAGTTACACTGGTAATGTCACCCCCATGGTGGTGGCCAGGGAATCCTCAACACTCCAGGTTCAAATCCCCCCCTCCAAGTGCTTTCTTGCAGCTGAAAGGTCTCATTAGATGCCCAGGACATGACTTGCTTTTAGTTGCCCTAGTCTAATCATCAGCTGCATCTGATGCCCTCCAGTTACATCCAAGGACTGTGCAACCTCCGGGTCATCTGAGTCACAAGGCAACTTGGTAGAAAACTGGTTATTTGGAGGGTTATTTTTCTGCCAGATCAGCAAACCCAAGAGCAGTGAAGCCCAAGGACAAACAGCACCTGCATGACTGGTCTTTGCATCAGCTTCCATGTGTTGGGTGAAGCTTTACTCCAGCTCTTGAGCCACCATGAAATTCATATGGCCAAAAGCTGGTAGCCTTTTTTGTCCTCTATGGTTTGTTTTTCGCCATCTAAACATCATCTCTCCAGGGAACAAAATGCTGCTGCCTGCAACACTGCAGGCATGTCAAAAACACATTCTTGCTTCTGTTTTTTTTCTCCATTTGCATAGGGATTTTGGTTCTGTACATCTTTGCTGACCAACCTACTTGTTCCTTAGCCCGGGTTCACAGACACACCTCCACCAGACGAGTCTCCTGGCTCCTGCACTCGTGCTTCATGCTGAAGCCCCAGGGCTCAGTGCGGGTTCTGCTCTCACCGCGGCAGTTGAGCTGGGGGTCTCCTTGCTCCACCTTGATCCCCGCTGCGGTTCACGTTCCGGGACGAGCTCCCCCTCTCCCTGCCTGCTCCTGCCCCGGGCTGCTCGCGCAGCACGCGCTGTGCAGGATGCACACTGCGGCGCGGGGTGGAGCAGCGCGTTCCCCAGCGCCGCAGCGAGGAACGTGCAGCAGCAGTTACAACCAACCTCTGATTCCTCGTAAGTGTAGAATCCTTTTGCTATTTTCTTTTCATCAACATCACAAAATGCAGTTACCTGGCAAAACAAAAGCAGATATTCCAGCTGCATTGTATTTCTGTAAGGAATGTTAACGGCATATAAATGAGGACAGGAACATGGCAAATCACCTGCTCCTCATAAAGAGCTTAAAACTATATTAAATCCTTTCCACACAGATCTTAATGAGATTTTTATAGGTGACTATGAGCACACTGTGGTGAGCTGAGCTACTGATTGTGCAAGAGAAGAAATGGAAGAAATCTTTGAGATCATTAACTTCATCCTTAGAGACATGGGAGCAGACTAACAGCAGCCAGCTGAGACCTGCGTCATGACCTTGGCCCTTCCATTCAATACCTGCCATGGGGTGCTCCAAACCCTCCTCCTTCTGCCCACCCAATCGTACAACATACCAGAGGACACCCCTGGGGAGCAATGCTGCAACAGCACTAGAGGTGCTCCAGTGCCACCAGCCTCACTCCTACATCAACTCGTAACCAATGTGGGGGACTCCCATTTGTACTTCTGGAACCCCAGAAGTCTCTGACTGTGACTGCAGATTTCGTGCTCTCAAACATCCAAACGACAGGCACGGCTTTGGGGTTTGTTAGCTGCAAAGCCCTGCAGATGTAGTGTTTAAACACACATATATAATCATGCTGCTCTATTTTGCTTATTCTTACTGGAGTTATTACTCAAGCATTACTTAGAGCCCTAGCTGCCAAATATTTGAGATGTTTATTTGCATTCCTCATAAACATGCCTGCAATCCAGCATATAAACTGGCCTTATTTTTGAACCATTAGGGTGCCAATAACATTTCAGAAGACTTTTTGCAATGAATATAAGTGTGTTTCCCCTGCTTTTCACTGGCTCTACTCATGTTCTATACACAGGACTCTCACACTGCAGCGGAACAGTTAAGTTAGTTAAGGCCTGGCTGAAATCAATTATTCTGGGGAAAGATGGAGAAGAGCGTTCCTATCTTTTAATTGTTGCATTAAAAATTGATTAACAACACTTAATATTGAGAAAATTTGAAAAGCCAGACAGCTGTTTCTTATAAATTTCTTGAGTTACATAAGGCTGCAAAAGGCTGGCCTCCTTTCTGCATGTGCAAACATTGCTCTCACATTTCCCTCCTTTGATTATGATGATGATTTTCTTTTACCTAAAGTGACCTCGTTCTGTTTGGGCAGGAGCCCACTGGCACGTGGGGATCGGTGTCACACGGCGGGACTCCTGCCTTCTTTTTCAGTATTTCTTTCTCAACACCCAGTGCCATCTTTGTGGCCCAGTGGCAAAATGAGGTCCCTGTGGTTCAGGAAATGGCCAGATGGAGCTTCAGCAACAACAAAGACATTTCCAGGTCAAAAATACTTTGGAGATGGCCAATGGAGTAGCTTCCATTTCCACTAGAGCAAGAGCTGAGCACCTTAGACTCACTTCAAAATTTCCTCTCCTCCTCAGTGGCCGGTGACAGGACAAGGGTAATGAGTACAAGGTGAACCCCAGGCAGTTCCAACTCCATATGGGGAAGAACTTCTTTCCTGTGAGGGTGCCAGAGCCCTGGCACAGGCTGCCCAGAGAGGCTGTGAAGGCTCCTTCTCTGGAGATCTTCAAACCCGCCTGGATGTCACCCTGTGCCACATGCTCTGGGTGTCCCTGCTGGGGCAGGGGCTGGACTGGATGATCCCCAGAGGTCCCTTCCAACCTCAACCATTCTGGGATTCTGTGATCTTATATGTCCTTGAGCACACACATATGTCCATATACATACATACATACATATATATATATATGTGTATACATACACACATGTACAGGTTACTTGGCTGTTTGAGTTATACTTCTGTGTTCACCACCTTTAAAATTCATTAAGACTTCAGTTTGCCCACTAATATCTCGCTGTCGTAGAAGCTGTGACAGTTAGAAAAAAAAGATTTTAGCAGCTCTAAAAGGATGAGTCTTCACTGGCAACTCAACACAGTTTGGGGGATAAATACAATCCAAAGGTTGACTTTTCCTACAGTAATTGAAGCTATTTTTTCAGCTGCTCACACGTTTGTTGTTTTGCTATTCATCTTTCACATGGGGTGAAGGGAAATTCCAGCCACTCTTCCATGCCAGGAGCCGACACTTCAGCTGTCAGGTCTGTGCTGAGAACATGGCTCCGCTCACCTTCCCCGTCAGCGTGTTGTAACCAGTGTGTCCACAGCGCAGGGATTTCTTCTCACCTTGAGTGTTAGAGACCCCAGTAGCATCCTAGTGGCACTGGGTTCCAACAACCATGTTAACTTCTCTCAGCCTTTACCATAACTCCTGCCATTAGATGCATAAAAGGACATGCACCATCTTCAACATACAAACCACCCAGACCTGAACTAGCAGCCCATGAAACTCCCAGGAACAGCAGCTGGGTGCAAAAAAGCCCCAGGCAGGACAGGCAGGGCTGGGACGGCTTCCCCTTGGAAGCCACTACTGACTCCTAACCGCTTTTTTGAGTTCCCGCTCAGGTATTTCCATGTATAATTTTCAATAGATTCAGCCAGCTTATATCTGATAGCTGCAGTATCACCAAACAGGTCAGACTCGACGGGGCAATTCTGCTGCCAGAATATACACCGCGTGGGTGGCCAAAGCGTAAGGCAACTATTCTTCTGCCACACACTATTTATTTTCCAATTAAAGAAAATGTGCGTCCGGAGACTAAATACTGGCCTTGCACACAATTGTTTATCCAGTAAGGAGCACTCAAGGCATCAGGCTTATCTGAGCTATTTACTTTAAAATATTCGGCTTAGCGGAGAGCTACCTATTTATTTTCCTGCATTAATGGGCTCCTACCTTAAATCTTTCCTCAAGACCAGTTATCCCCACTTAAACTAGGTTCTTTTGAGGAGGAGCCTGTGTTGTAACTCTATGAAGCATTCTCAGGCTTTTTTTTTATTGAGAAAATACATTAAATACTATGCAAAATACATTACAAATCTCAATATTTTACTTTCAACTGCTTCCCACTGCAATCCATAGCATCGCACCATGGTAGTTTGAGGCCTCGGCTCATACTTCAGTTACAAGGAAACTGAGTATTTAGCGTTGGAGCCTGACTTGTATAAAAACCCCTACAATTGCAAAAGAAAAAAAAAAACACTTTTCTGTCAGCTAAAAATTGGAAGAGCCAGCTCAATATCAGCTAGCACAAGCCATTTAGTTAGTGTATGTAACTGTTTTATAAACACAAATTGTACCATATGGAAACAATGGTGTAAGAAAAAGGGAAATAGGAGAAAACAGTTCTCTCCCTCATGAGAGAAAGGTCATACAGCTCAAAAGATAAGGTATTTACTCAAAGAAAACTGGCGGGGAAGGCACTTCTGAAGCAGATAAATGCACTTCTCTGCTGTCTCTTTTCTTTTTCTTTTTTTTTAATAAACAGAGCAGCTGCATGAAGGGACTCACAGATTTGGGCTAGGAGACCTCCCCGTAGTGAAAGGAGATTAATGGGCAGGACAAGCCAAGGAATCATTTAAGAGTCAGCCTGGAGTCCACTCCTGAGTTGTTTGAGCTGTGCTGCTGTTATGAGAAAATTGTGTCACGCTTGATGCGTTGGCCACGCAGGGAAGGCTCCCTTCCCCTTCTGCTTCCCCTTCCCCTTCTGCTTCCTCTTCCCCTTCCGCTCCCCCTTCCCCTTCCCCTTCCCTGTCCACTCAGCTTTCCTTGGCCTCATTTTGGTGAATGATCTCCATGGCACTTAGTTCCCCACTTTATTTTCACCTGTGAGAGGTGCGTGATGCAGGGCAGCCTGGCAGTGCTGAGGCTGGATCCTCTTCGGCGCGCGTGGAAGGACACGAGAGACCAACTCTGCAAGGCAGAGCCAGCACCTTGCACAGAGCACGTGAGGAAAGATGGAGAACCCTTGGGACACACGATCCCTTGCCCGTTGTGTCCTCTCCCTCCTGACTCCATTAACTGCTCTCACAAAACTTACCCTTAAGGAAGGCAATCTCCATAAAATCTTATGTGAGCAGCTCTTCCCTATTAGTGTCTCTCCGGGTCCCTGGCTGTAGCACGATGTTGGGAGAGTTCACAGTCCTGCTTGCTCTGTTCATTTGCACATTTCACACCTCCATGGCCCTCCCCATTCTGTTATTTTAGCCATTCGTGTCAAAGGAAGGACTTTTAAAGCATTACAATGCAGGTTTCAATGCTAATGCCTCCCAGCACGGCACACACAGAGCCTGGAGCTGATAAGCCCGTGGGCGCTCAGGCTCAATCTGGATGTTTGCGGTACCGGTATCAACGCGCTGCTCCTGTCCACCCAGGCAGCATCACAACCTCTGCTGAAGCTCTGGGTGTCTTCACCTTCCACATGTGTGGTTCACGGAGGAGTTTTAAGACGCTGCTTCGCTAAAGACAGCGCTCTCTTCCCTCCTGACATTGCTGCAGAAAATCTTAATGCCAGAAACCAACATCCACACACAGGCAGTGCCAAAGACTGACAGCCACAAAGACTGTACAGACACAATCACCTTGTTAACTACAACTGCCTTCATGCAAAGCAGAACGGGAGCTGCTGCACGGATCTCTCCAGGACAGGGGGCTCTACACCAGCTTCTCACGGATGTGCTCTGCGCTGCCAGCGCTCGTGGGAGGTGCAGAAAGGGCCTCCTGCAGAACGCGGCTCCCGCCAGACAGATTTCCTGACTGCATTTAAAGCATTTTATATAGTGCAAAATGAAAACTGGCAAAACAGAGGCTTTGCTTTAAGATGCCCTATGCTGGGCACTTAACTGACACTTGCATCTCTGTCTTTTTGCTCTTTGAGCTCTTCTACGTTGCTTCAATGCTGACACCTTATCTTTTGCTCCACTGAAAGGTGGCTGCAACACCCTTCTCTTTGCTTGTGTTTCTCTGTTTTTTCCTGCCCCCACTTCAGCTGCTTGCATTGCAAGCTGCTTATTTTAAGAGTATTTAAAATGCTACAAAACCAAAACATTTCCTGCCCTTGTGGGCTAGCAGAAAGGTGGCAGGTAAAGCCCATGCTTTAGTGTCATGGGATAAAGCAGAAGAGAAGCTAAAATGAGACACTGCTGGAGATTTTAAACGGTTAATGAGCTAGGAAAAAGGGTACAAAAATTCTTTCTTGAAGCATTCAGTTCTGCTTCTGGTGGATAATGTTGTCATATAGAAACCTCGTGGGCTGGATGTGTCCCAGTCCTGTTTCCATGCCACTGATTATGTGTCTGCTGGTTATTTTGTCCTTTTCCCCTCCTTTTCAGTTTGGTTACTTGAGCACTATTTTCAGCTATCGGAAATGACACTAAAATGTTAATTCTGAACTTCTTTTAGCTGAGGTTTGACGAGGAATAAAAGAGCAGACAAGACAGCTCAGAAGCCCTCTAGGCATATGCGGCAACTCCAAAACATTTGGTTTCCATCTTCAGCTGCGAATTATAGACAAGACGGATGTGTTTTAAACAAAAAAAGGTCTGTTTGACTTCACTCTTGCAGAAATGCTAATACTGAACCACTGTCAACTGTGTGAATCAAGAAGGGCACAGCCAGGAAAGTGAATTTCCCTAAGAATACTGAGATCCTGGCAATTAATTCATTAAAAAAAAATGTAGTTGAATCATTTTTCCCATGTTGCTGTGTAGCAAGAACACTAAGGCTTGGAGTTTTCTCCGAAATCTCTGCAGATAAAGTGTTATTTTATTTTATTCACCACGCAGATGTCTGCAGGAAGACAGAATATATTACTTAGGTGTCCTTTTTTCTTTTGACATTTTACATTCAGACTGTTTTCCAAACATACTAAAATAATAATTTGTTAGTGAGTGTGACCAAAGATTGCTGCTTCCTGGAACAAAATTTTGTTTTCTAATGCATTTAACCTATTTATACTTTTTGAATATCCTACAACAGCCTAGTCAATACAAGAAATGCAATTGCGCTGTTTATCAGGTATCTAAATTTTCTTGCAGAAAATTTAGCAGAGCTTATGTTTTCTGTAATTCTGAGTAAAACAAGCTGTATGTGTATATTTTTTTAATTTTTATTACCTGTTTTGGTGTGTCCTGCCTACTGTCTCCAGGTTCTCAGAGCCAGTTCAGAGCAACTTTACTGAGGCAGGAACCGGGCTCATGACTTCCCAGGAGACCCCAAATCTCAGCAAAAGGCTAAAGGAACAGGGACACAGAGCAAAGGTGGCACTTTCAATAGTCTAAACTAGTTTAAAATATGAAGTCAACTGCAATGAAATATAGGCATTTAAGTTGTACAGCTTATTTTAACAATCTTACTTGCATGTAAAAGTGTATTAAACCTTCTAAGAATCACACTTCCATGCCACTGTGCTCTCAGAAAACAAAATGGTAATTATATTGGCACAATACATCATATTTTGACTTAATATGCTTGTGAAAATCACTTGTAAAGTTTTTTAAAATCTACTCTAAAAATATTTTTTAAAACTATTCTACAGAATTGATGCAGCAATATCATAGGGCCTCCATTTGCAGTACAAGATTAGACTCTATTTGCAGATTCAAAACAAGAATGACTGTCCTCAGAAGATGAGCTGAAAATGTAAATTTGGTTAAGAAAGTCTTCTGCGGGTGAGACAGGAAAGGTATTTTATTGTTTTTCAGGGCTGGAAACGATGAGGCAACAACTATTTACAGCCTTTGCTCATATGGGATTTTCAAGTCTTTGGCAAGAGCTGAAGATTAGTCACCAAACACCTGAAGAATTTTTGAGGAAAAAACCTAACACTGAGTTTAGCCAGCCTGTTTCGGTGATATTATTTTAGAAATCAAAACAAAACAAAAGCTAAGAAAAACTGCTACGAATCACCTACTGCAAATGTTCTGAATGGAGTCTCCTTCCCTGGAGCGCTTCCAAACCCGCCTGGTGCCACCCTGTGCTCTGGGTGTCCCTGCTGGAGCAGCAGGTTGGACTAGATGGTCTCTAGAGGTTCCTGCCAGCCTCAACTGTTCTGGAATTCTGTGAATTTACTTCCCCAGGCTCAGGCAAGTCTGACTCCTCTTGGCAAGGCCGGGCTGCTTTGGTTTTTTGAGCAGCCTTTTGCCCCTGCCCAGCTACGCAGCACAGGGAGGACGTTTAGGCTTCACTTCTGACCGAGCCCAAATAACTAGAAAAAACATCTTAACCACTACAAATAACTCTGAACTTCACCTGAAATTAGCTCGCTAAAAATTAGGCTTCTAATCTATTTTAGGATGACAGAAGTCACTTTCTGAAGCTATTTATGATTGCTGGTTATTGAGGAAGCCTCTGATGCCAAATGTGAAACGGATGAGGATGGATTACCCTATGCAAGACACTAAGAGCGAGGCTGCAGCTCTATCTTAGCAGCTGTTTTCTGCAGAGCCCTGGCAAAATGAATCACACCAGAGAGGATTATTGCACATGCAAACTGCATTTGGTGCACAGGCTTGCTAAATGCACCGAGTATTCAGTATTTAACAGGTTAATATTCAATGTAATATTTCAATATCAACCTAAAGCATACTGGAATATGTATAATTATAATCTTGACAGAAGCAAAATAATATCGCGGCCTGCAGCACTGCCAAAGCAAACGTTATGCAGAGGTCAGCTGGAAGGAATGTTAGAGATCCTGGTTAATCAGAACCACACTGTCAGGAAAGTTGGGAATAAGGGTTGCTCCTTGCTCAAGGAGAAGTAAGTCCACGTTGTTTAGCAGCAAAATATCACAAAAACCAGTCTCATTTTTCCCTTGCCCTTTTTATCCTCTCTGCAGGGGCATCTTCAAATTATTGTGTTGGCTACACAGGATGTGAAGCTCTGAAGAAGTCACCTGCAGACGTCAGCAGCAAGCAGAACCCAAAGCAAGGCATTTGCTCTGTTTTAATATCAATTCCCATTTTGTCTTGGCTCATTATAAAAAAAGAAATAATACCTAAAATGGTGTAACATTGCCACAAAGACAGCATAGCCCGTTTTCTACTCTGCCTGTCAAAAAGCCCTGCAGAGCATCAGCAGAGAGTCTCCATCTCTTCCACCAGCAACTTATCTCCTAATCCTTATAACTGTGTAGACAGGACAGCGTCCTGGATGCTGCAACTTAGAGGAGTTCACAAATTGTTCTGCAAAATACTAACTAAAAAGCTCATTTTCACCAAAGCCCCGAAGCCAAGCGCGCCCGACACCGCTCCACGAGGTGACTCAACGCGTGCCCGTCGCTGCAGGGCGGGCGGGAAGAAGGGCGCTGCGGCACGGAGCGGGAATTCCGCTGCGCCCCGTTCCTGGGCCACAACCGGCTGCATCTGTTCAAGAATTTCCACTGCCGAGTCACACGTTTCTTCTCTTTGTACACGCGTGTGGTCTGGGGACTGCTACGTTAATCAGGTTTATGTAGAGATTTGTCACTCTGTCTTCCCACACCAGTATTTTTAAGGAAAGAAAACATATTTGGTAGTAAAAGTATGTTATGTGACTGTTTATAAGAAACAGCCATCTGAAACGAGCCCTTGAGCCTTTATCTAAAAAAAAGTTATTAGACAAAAGGCTATGTTATAAAAGTAAGGCATTTAAACTCTCCAACAAACCTCTCCTGAGAAAAAATGGTCATTGCCAAACACAACTTCCACATTTGCAAATAAATTAATTGTAAGTGGAATTAGATATTCACGTGCAATTGTTTCTCCCTGCCTCTGCCCTTGTTGCACTCCTTTCTCTTTAATGGCTCAAGCTTTTCAACAGGGAGTTACAATACACACCAGGCTGCTCTGCATTTGACAAGGAGCCCTCTCAAATCCACTTAGGATTGGGGCAAATATTTCTAACTTAGTTTCATCTAGTTCTTCTTTAGACATAAGACAGTGTACAAGAACCTGACTATATTATGTATCAAGAAGCAAAGAGGCATAAGAGAAAGAAGCAAACGCTTTTATAAGCCATTTTGTCCAATGTGAATAGCTCACCTTTTTCTGGTTTGCTGGTGACAAGCTTCTGTAGAGCTTCTTGCCCTGTTTGCCGGCATTCCAGATGGTGAATGACGTCCAGCGGGTGAGGACTCGGTCTTCAAGAAACCTGACTCGGTGATTCCAGATGGTTCCCCTGGACAATTGGAAAAACAGTGGAGGTTTTGGTGGAGTTTTTCAAACAGAGATCATAAGGATAGATTCAGAGTCGTAGCTGAAGTATTATTTCCAAGAAGCATTATAGAAAATCGCATCAACATGAACAACTGCAGTTGTGGAAATCAAATTCAACAGTGGCAGGTCGGGCTGTCCACCAAACACACCTATCTGGAAGCAACAATTTGTAATTTGCAATAGATTCTGGCAAGGCAGGTCCCAAGCCCAGGCCGTGCTCTTCCATCCACCCATACATTCATCCTGCTTTTTCAATGAAAATTTGAAACGTCAGTTTTATACTCTATCCATGCAGACACGCCAAAGCTGGAAGGCAGGTCAGTTCATTACATCTTCAACAAGTCCCTTTTCAAAGCTCAGATTCAATGGACAACTGTTCAGGAACTGCCTAGCGCTGACCTCCGAAGTGGCCCAGAAACAACCAGAGCTCAGACACGACTGAACACTCGTGACTGGGCATACACACACGAGAAGCAAAATTAAAGACAGTGATTTAATTTTGAAGTCTCCAAGGTGTTATTCAACAGTGATACAAATAACTGACCGGGCCTTTTATTTTGAAGACAATCTTTTTAAGAATTAGAATTGCTGGACACAACAGAGCAGTGAAACAAATCACTAAATTCACCCACGGTTTTCCACATCCTGGGAAGCAGCCCTTTTTCTTACCAATGTACTTCAGGTTTAAGCCCCACAGTATTTTGACTCTATTAAGTGGGTATGCACGTGACAGACTCAGAGAGTATATTATTGTCTCTGCTTCAAATCAGAGCCCATCAGTCAGCAAGGTTGTCTTGGGACAATCACAGCGGTTCCAACCTCAGCTGCTCATCTGACCAACCACCAACCTTCTCCTCTCCAAGTGCAGCTTGTCATTTTCTGGCAAAACCAATGTTTTTTTCAAGTGTCCTTGACATTATGCAGCTCAACTGTCCATGAAGCACAGGTGGGAAGACAGTCAGGACTAGGAACTGTTCTGTTAAAATTTTATAAAACTTAGTGCAAGGAACTTTGTTTTATCTGGGTTGTTCCTTCACAGTCCTGAGTTATGGGTTGAGAAATATCAAACCATCACAGCACTGAGAAATATGGATTCCTGCTGCGATTATTAGATAGCTCCAGAGACACTAAACTCACTTGAGCATGAGAATTTTGAG